GTGCGTTGTTGTTTTTTGGGGGATGGGGATTAAACATGTTCGTTTTTGGGGTTGGTTTAAAGGTCAACCTTTTTTGGGATCGAGTTTGAAGGTCCGATTTTGGAGGGTTCTTTTTTGTTGGGGGGGGGGGGGGGGTACATGTTTGGGGGGTTGCATTTGGGGGAGGGGGGGCTTGGTATAAAGGTACATTGTTGGGGGATTGGTTTCAAGGTACGTTTTTTGGGGGATGGAGTAATTAAAGGGTACATTTGCTTGGGGTTGGTTTACAGGTCCATGTTTGGGGGGTGGGTTCAACGCCGTATTTTTGGGGCGGTTGAAAGGTATTTTTTTGGGGGGGTTGGTTTAAAGGCAAATGCTTGGGGATTGATTTGAAGGTACATGCTTGGGGGGTTGGTATAAAGGTACATGATTGAGGGGGTTGGTTTAAAGGTACATGTTTGGGGGGTTGGCTTAAAGGGAAACCAAAAAACATCCGAGATTTTGGGCAATACCACTATTTCGAGGCATCCATATTCATTCTGCCCCCCCTTTTGGTTTTGCTGAGTCCGCCATCGTCCCATTTACGACAGTTGACCAACCAAAGAACTCGAGACGTTTCATGCAGAACAAGTTTCCCAATTGAGCAGCCGCAACAAGGTTGAAACCGTGTTGTTTGTTTCTAAAAGGGTTCCGGGCCTGGCTATGACCCTCATAGAGCCACGCAGAACAACCTACTGGCCCATTGACGACACCCGCCTTACTACTCAGGCGGAGGTAACAGGTGCTCAAAAAGATCCCACGAGGAAGCTCGAAGCAAGGAAGCCAAGAAGCCAGGAAGCAAGGAAGCCAGGAAGCAAGGAAGCAGGGAAGCAAGGAAGCCAAGACGCAAGGAAGTAAGGAAGTCATTGCCCTGGCCGCTCCATTTCCGACTTTGAGAACAACAGTGCGCTCTTGAGAAGGACTTTGACTGGGTCAGCGACATCGAAAAACCTGTTTTCCTCTAGAAGGTGGTGGGTACTGATTCTGCGAATCATTTTCTTGCTGGTGCGATAGGCAGGGCATGGGGAATGACCCCATTCCAAACCATCCCGTCGCGTCTTTGTGAGGGAATCCGGAATCCCCTCAAAAAACTCCCTGCGCAACCTGGGGAAGTTCTCATCTTTTACAGATAGCATCCATGTCACCCGAAAAGTTGAGAAAAGTTGTGGGAGGTAAGAGGGACAGATAGCCCATGTTACCCAAAAAGTTGAGAAAAGTTGAGAAAAGTTGTGCTTTCAAGAGGGAAGTGGTTGGTCATGGACCCATTCTTTCGGGTCAGAGGGAGACTCCAGGTGCATTCCCTTCCCGGCCTATAGCGAGGGCCGGGATCCAAGTTCAAGGGGAGGTTCGATTCCCCGAAGCTCCCAACTCAAGCTGCTGGGTCCCTCCAGGTTTGGAGGTTAGAAGTTGGTACCCGATTTTTTTTCGGTTTTATCGATTTTAGTAGGGGAACCCTCCTTTTTTTTCGGTTTTGCCTATTTTAGTAGGGGAACCCTCCTTTTTTTTCGGTTTTGTCGATTTTAGTAGGGGAACCCTCCTTTTTTTTCGGTTTTGCCTATTTTAGTAGGGGAACTCCTTTTTTTTCGGTGGAACCCTCCTTTTTTTTCGGTTTTGTCGATTTTAGTAGGGGAACCCTCCTCTTTTTTTTTCGGTCTTGCCTATTTCCCTCCTTTTTTTTTTCGGTTTTGTCGATTTTAGTAGGGGAACCCTCCTTTTTTTTCGGTTTTCCCCCCTTTTTTTTCGGTTTTGCCTATTTTAGTAGGGGAACCCTCCTTTTTTTTCGGTTTTGTCGATTTTAGTAGGGGAACCCTCCTTTTTTTTCGGTTTTGCTTATTTTAGTAGGGGAACCCTCCTTTTTTTTCGGTTTTGTCGATTTTAGTAGGGGAACCCTCCTTTTTTTTTCGGTTTTGGGAATTTTCCCTAAAGGAACCCTCCTTTTTTTTCGGTTTTGTCGATTTTGGTAGGGGAACCCTATTTTGCCTATTTTAGTAGGGGAAGGAACCCTCCTTTTTTTTATTTTAGTAGGGGAACCCTCCTTTTTTTTCGGTTTTGTCGAACCCTCCCTCCTTTTTTTTCGGTTTTGTCGATTTTAGTAGGGGAACCCTCCTTTTTTTTCGGTTGGGTCGATTTTAGTAGGGGAACCCTCCTTTTTTTTCGGTTTTGTCGATGTTAGTAGGGAAACCCTCCTTTTTTTGTCGGTTTTGCCTATTTTAGTAGGGGAACCCTCCTTTTTTTTTGGTTTTGCCTATTTTAGTAGGGGAACCCTCCTTTTTTTCGGTTTTGTCGATTTTAGTAGGGGAACCCTCTTTTTTTTTCGGTTTTGTCGATTTTAGTAGGGGAACCCTCCTTTTTTTTCGGTTTTGCCTATTTTAGTAAGGGAACCCTCCTTTTTTTCGGTTTTGCCTATTTTAGTAGGGGAACCCTCCTTTTTTTTCGGTTTTGCCTATTTTAGTAGGGGAACCCTCCTTTTTTTCGGTTTTGTCGATTTTAGCAGGGGAACCCTCCTTTTTTTCGGTTTTGTCGATTTTAGTAGGGGAACCCTCCTTTTTTTTTTTTTCGGTTTTGTCGATTTTAGTAGGGGAACCCTCCTTTTTTTTCGGTTTTGCCTATTTTAGTAGGGGAACCCTCCTTTTTTTTCGGTTTTGTCGATTTTAGTAAGGGAACCCTCCCCGGTTTTCCTATTTTAGTAGGGGAACCCTCCTTTTTTTCGGGTTTTGCCGGTTTTGTCGATTTTAGTAGGGGAACCCTCCTTTTTTTTCGTTTAGTAGGGGAACCCTCCCGGTTTTGTCGATTTTAGTAGGGGAACCCTCCTTTTTTTCGGTTTTGTCGATTTTAGTAGGGGAACCCTCCTTTTTTTTCGGTTTTGCCTATTTTAGTAGGGGAACCCTCCTTTTTTTTCGGTTTTGTCGATTTTAGTAGGGGAACCCTCCTTTTTTTTGGTTTTGCCTATTTTAGTAGGGGAACCCTCCTTTTTTTTCGGTTTTGCCTATTTTAGTAGGGGAACCCTCCTTTTTTTTCGGTTTTGCCTATCTTAGTAGGGGAACCCTCCTTTTTTTTCGGTTTTGTCGATTTTAGTAGGGGAACCCTCCTTTTTTTTCGGTTTTGTCGATTTTAGTAGGGGCTCCTTTTTTTTTTCGGTTTTGCCTATTTTAGTAGGGGAACCCTCCTTTTTTTTTCGGTTTTGTCGATTTTAGTAGGGGATCCTTTTTTTTTTTTCGATTTTGCTCATTTTAGTAGGGGAACCCTCCTTTTTTTTCGGTTTTGTCTATTTTAGTAGGGGAACCCTCCTTTTTTTTTTCGGTTTTGCCTATTTTAGTAGGGGGAACCCTCCTTTTTTTTCCGTTTTGTCTATAACCCTCCTTTTTTTTTTCGGTTTTGTCGATTGTAGTAGGGGAACCCTCCTTTTTTTCGGTTTTGCCTATTTTAGTAGGGGAACCCTCCTTTTTTTTTCGGTTTTGCCTATTTTAGTAGGGGAACCCTCCTTTTTTTTCGGTTTTGTCGATTTTAGCAGGGGAACCCTCCTTTTTTTTCGGTTTTGTCGATTTTAGTAGGGGAACCCTCCTTTTTTTTTTCGGTTTTGCCTATTTTAGTAGGGGAACCCTTTTTTTTTTTCCGTTTTGTCGATTTTAGTAGGGGAACTCTCGTTTTGTTTTTCGGTTTTGCCTATTTTAGTAGGGGACCCCTCCTTTTTTTTCGGTTTTGTCTATTTTAGTAGGGGAACCCTCCTTTTTTTTCGGTTTTGCCTATTTTAGTAGGGGAACCCTCCTTTTTTTTCGGTTTTGCCTATTTTAGTAGGGGAACCCTCCTTTTTTTTCGGTTTTGCCTATTTTAATAGGGGAACCCTCCTTTTTTTTCGGTTTTGACGATTTTAGTAGGGGAACCCTCCTTTTTTTTCGGTTTTGTCGATTTTAGTAGGGGGAACCCTCCTTTTTTTTTTTTCGGTTTTGCCTATTTTAGTAGGGGAACCCTCCTTTTTTTCCGGTTTTGTCGATTTTAGTAGGGGAACCCTCCTTTTTTTTCGGTTTTGTCGATTTTAGTAGGGGAACCCTCCTTTTTTTTCGGTTTTGCCTATTTTAGTAGGGGAACCCTCCTTTTTTTTCGGTGGAACCCTCCTTTTTTTTCGGTTTTGTCGATTTTAGTAGGGGAACCCTCCTTTTTTTTTTCGGTTTTGCCTATTTTAGTAGGGGAACCCTCCTTTTTTTCCGGTTTTGTCGATTTTAGTAGGGGAACCCTCCTTTTTTTTCGGTTTTGTCTATTTTAGTAGGGGAACCCTTTTTTTCGGTTTTGTCGATTTTAGTAGGGGAACCCTCCTTTTTTTTCGGTTTTGCTTATTTTAGTAGGGGAACCCTCCTTTTTTTTCGGTTTTGTCGATTTTAGTAGGGGAACCCTCCTTTTTTTTTCGGTTTTGCCTATTTTAGTAGGGGAACCCTCCTTTTTTTTCGGTTTTGTCTATTTTAGTAACGGAACCCTCCTTTTTTTTCGGTTTTGTCTATTTTAGTAGGGGAACCCTCCTTTTTTTTTCGGTTTTGCCTATTTTAGTAGGGGAACCATCTTTTTTTTTCGGTTTTGTCGATTTTAGTAGGGGAACCCTCCTTTTTTTTTTTCGGTTTTGCCTATTTTAGTAGGGGAAGCCTCCTTTTTTTTCCGTTTTGTCGATTTTAGTAGGGGAACCCTCCTTTTGTTTTTCGGTTTTGCCTATTTTAGTAGGGGACCCCTCCTTTTTTTTCGGTTTTGTCTATTTTAGTAGGGGAACCATCCTTTTTTTTCGGTTTTGCCTATTTTAGTAGGGGAACCCTCCTTTTTTTTCGGTTTTGCCTATTTTAGTAGGGGAACCCTCCTTTTTTTTTCGGTTTTGCCTATTTTAATAGGGGAACCCTCCGTTTTTTTCGGTTTTGTCCTTTTTTTTTTCGGTTTTGTCGATTTTAGTAGGGGGAACCCTCCTTTTTTTTTCGGTTTTGCCTATTTTAGTAGGGGAACCCTCCTTTTTTTTCGGTATTGTCGATTTTAGTAGGGGAACCCTCCTTTTTTTTTCGGTTTTGTCGATTTTAGTAGGGGAACCCTCCTTTTTTTTCGGTTTTGCCTATTTTAGTAGGGGAACCCTCCTTTTTTTCGGTGGAACCCTCCTTTTTTTCGGTTTTGTCGATTTTAGTAGGGGAACCCTCCTTTTTTTTTCGGTTTTGCCTATTTTAGTAGGGGAACCCTCCTTTTTTTTCGGTTTTGTCGATTCTAGTAGGGGAACCCTCCTTTTTTTTTCGGTTTTGTCGATTTTAGTAGGGGAACCCTCCTTTTTTTTCGGTTTTGTCTATTTTAGTAGGGGAACCCTCCTTTTTTTTCGGTTTTGTCGATTTTAGTAGGGGAACCCTCCTTTTTTTTCGGTTTTGTCGATTTTAGTAGGGGAACCCTCCTTTTTTTTTCGGTTTTGCCTATTTTAGTAGGGGAACCCTCCTTGTTTTTCGGTTTTGTCGATTTTAGTAGGGGAACCCACCTTTTTTTTTCGGTTTTGCATATTTTAGTAGGGGAACCCTCCTTTTTTTTCGGTTTTGTCGATTTTAGTAGGGGAACCCTCCTTTTTTTTCGGTTTTGCCTATTTTAGTAGGGGAACCCTCCTTTTTTTTCGGTTTTGCTTATTTTAGTAGGGGAACCCTCCTTTTTTTTCGGTTTTGCATATTTTAGTAGGGGAACCCTCCTTTTTTTTCGGTTTTGTCGATTTTAGTAGGGGAACCCTCCTTTTTTTTTCGGTTTTGCCTAATTTTGTAGGGAACCCTCCTTTTTTTTCGGTTTTGTCTATTTTAGTAGGGGAACCCTCCTTTTTTTTCGGTTTTGTCGATTTTAGTAGGGGAACCCTCCTTTTTTTTTCGGTTTTGCCTATTTTAGCAGGGGAACCCTCCTTTTTTTTCGGTTTTGTCGATTTTAGTAGGGGAACCCTCCTTTTTTTCGGTTTTGCCTATTTTAGTAGGGGAACCCTCCTTTTTTTTCGGTTTTGTCTATTTTAGTAGGGGAACCCTCCTTTTTTTTCGGCTTTGTCGATTTTAGTAGGGGGACCGAATCTCCCAACCAAAAAAGGGGAGAGAAGGGCACCACCGGGTTGGCTGAGCTAAACCTATTTGAGCTGACTGAAATGCAAGACAAACTGGCCAGCTGCAGGGGTTCATGTGCACAGGTCAGTTTTCAAGATGATGTTATCCGAAGTCAGGGTACTCCCTTGCCGCAGTTGCCGAAGATCGGTATCGAAATAGGAGTAATGCGTAAGCCAGCGCCCACTATTATCGCGTTGATACGGGGGTTGATGAATATTCTTCGCCTCCCAATGCGCATGGGGAACTTGTCCCATTTAGTGGGACATATCATCTTTCAGCGGTTTCCCCCTGGTCGTCCCATGTGCAGGACCTTTGTATCAACACCAATATGAGCAAATTAGTATTTACAATATAAACAACGAAACTTTTGAGAGGACCAACCAAAAAATCGCTCCAACGAAAACCGATTCCAATGAGAACATTTTAGTGGGAACTTTCATCTGCTTAAGTCCATTTGCTTATTTCATTAGTGATAGATTCCCTTTAAACCCAGCAAGGGGAAAATATAAAATGTTCTTCAGCAAATCAAAGGACACGCTAAACACAACGCATCGTTTTCGCGCCTGGCCGCCATCCACTTCAACTCCGGCGCGGGAGCGCTCACCAAAACGCTGTGCCAGAAATCCTCCAGCCAATCGATCTCTGGCTCTTCCTGAGCTTTCGGTCCCATAGCCCCGCTTCAAGCTTCAGGCCTTCCGGCCGCTCCGCTTCATTCTTGAGAGAAAGCTAAACAAACATGACCAGCTTAGGAGTCGATGGAATCATCGGAAGTGAGTACAGCTTTGGATCCTTTACTGCACAGATTGATGTCAACTTTGCATCGTCAGGAGCACCTCTAGCCCAATCTGAGTGAGTCAAGTGCTGAGATTCAACAAACCCCGTAACCACCCCATACCCGGCCTCTTTCTAGGGTATCATGTCGACCCTCTAGAGGTATGTACCAAGGAACCCAGGTTATTCAAAAAAATACTAAGAAAAAAGCGGGGATTTGGAAGAAGGGGTAGGCTGAATGTATGCACCCGTGGCACCAAGTGGCAGCAAACCTTTCCCCAACGAGTGGTTGCTTCACCAGTAGGATTTCATTCGGATTTCAATCAAAAAAGTCATACCATCTGCCTGGAGTCTCCGTGACCCTTAAAAAATGGGGGTCATCACCCAAAATAATGGGGTCATGGACCCATTCTTAAAGGGTCATGGAGACTCCAGGTGGTTGCAATTTGCCGCACTTCCCGTTAAAACGAAGGCAACAACAATACAATCATCATGGACCAATCGCTCGTATAACCAAGGTGAGCCTGTACTAATTTTGCTCAGATGCTCACTTGCCCAAGTAAAAAAACAATTAAAAACAAAAACAGCGGTTCTTGATGCTCGCCTAACGTCACAAAAGCGTGCCGCTGGCCAACTGAACCCAGGAAAAAATCGAAGCCATGTGCTTTACTCAAACATCTCGTACTTAGTTGTCTGGCAAGGCTTCACGGAACCCTGCGGAAGCGCCCCAGGCTTTGTCGGCATCATGTGCCACTTGGATATCAAAACTAATAATAACATGTCAAATTAACAAGTATATCAATACAATAAAACAATCAAATGCGTGTACGAAGCAATCAATAAACAGTAAACAAATATAACTAAATAAAGCCCATAAACCTTTTTTTTTAACAATCAAACTAAATGAATGAACCAATGAAGCGCGCAATGAATGAATGAATGCATGAATGGATGAGCGAACAAACGAACAAACAACCAAATAAGTAAATGAATGAATGAATGAATGAATGAATGAATGAATTAATGAATGAATGAATGAATACAGCAACACATACGTGGCCCTCATATCCTTCTCACCGAAAGCCAAGCCTCCATTAAGGTCTAGTTTCTTAGCACCTTAGCATGGACAGGGTCCCTAATATTTCCACTGAACATCACCCCACCTAGATGAAATGCACCTAGAAAAAACCCTGATGGATCACCGGAAACCGAAAGATCAAAAGGCGGTGAGCCGGGTTTTTTGGGCTGCGTTTTTGTGCTGCTTTGGGCTGTTTTTGTTTTTGGGCGGTTTTTTGGGGCTTTTCCACTCACAGGGGTTGTGGTTTTGCGGTGAGGATTTTTCCGGTTTCACGCAGAAAGCGGGAAGGCGCCGAAAGATCGAGTCAGCGAAGTCAATGCATCCCAAGCGTCGCTCTCAATGGCACGGCTCACGTCGTTGAGGGACACCTCAGAACTCAGAAATCGGCGCGGTCCAAACTTCCTTCGGACACTCCGTGTCACTCAAGAAAATCAGCGAGGGGAAGCCGACGATTTTGCGGGTTTGTTTGTTTTGACATTTTGTACTCTGAGAGTGCTTCACTTGTTTGGTATTCACGCTGGTGGAACAGGCGCATCGTTTATCGGCTACACGATCTTGTATGCAGGGCATGTTCAATACCAAAATATGGCCATGAATTTTAATAGGGAACCACCTCAACAGTGATTGGTGGACATGAATCCCCACCTAAATGATGTCCACCAAAGGGCCCCTTATCAAAATTCATAGCCATATGGGTGGTGTTTTATGTTCTGTGTGTGTCTCCCCTTTTTGAGGGTTACCCCATCACCGGTTTTCCAACTCAAACCGTGTCTGGGTGTCCCCCACAAATTAAAAACATATGGCCCGGCTGATCGCACGGTTTGCATGCTGGGCGCCGATGTGAAGGACAGCTCCCGCTTCAAACCTGGCGCGATTTGACACAAAGTGAAGAGCGCACTTGCAAAATCCATTGCACGGCTAAAGGCTATCCTGACTGTTGGTGACTATCCTGAATACGTCTTCGAATATGTGTTCTCGGATGATGTGTCGATGATGCTTCATTAGTTTCGGAACTTCTTTTCTTAGGGCTTTCCGCGCCGCAATGGAAAGGGTTGGGTTGGGACCAGCCAAGTCGGGGCAAAAGGCTTCCAGCAGAGCCCACGTGGATCGGAACTATGGCCTCCAATGTTCTATGTTTGATGCTGGCCGATCTGAAGGTGTCTCGGTAACGCCTTGTGTGTATGTCATTTTTCTTGCGTCCCGGTGCCTCTGTCTGCACGACTGTTCGGAGGAACCATTGCAACGTATTTTGCCACTGCGGCATAAATTCCTCGGGCTTCTCTGCAAAGACCCACGTACCAACAGGTCACCGATTCATGTCAGGACAAAAACATCTCTCCCAAGAAGCAGACTCAGTATTGGTATGGAATTCCGCAGCCCTCAACCCTTGCCAAGCTGGAACACGCAGCTTGTCTCAGGACAAACAACATAATGTCATGCATACATCCAACATCAACACAAAGTCAATACATTCACTTTCATACCCTCCGCGGAGCTTCCGCAGCAGAAGATCATCAGGACCTATGTTTTGCACTGTTTGAATACTCCAAATGAATGGAGAACCAGCTGTCCTCTGAACGTGATCGGAGTATCAAACTTATGGAACTGCTTGGAACACTCTGGTCCTCGTAAACACAATTACTCAACTACCGTTTTGGATGGTACTCGCCACATATTCCATTTCCTCCATATATTGGCCTCCCATCCACGCATCCAAATCTTGCGTTGGGTGGGAGTGGTTTGGTTTGGGGCCTGAGGACTTGAGTTTGACACCGCTTTGGATCCCTAAGCTTCCTGACATGCTCGCGTGGCTCCCGTGGCTCGCTCGCTGTCCGGATTCCGGGCCGCCGGGCCTGACGTGTCGATGTTCCTGATCGGCTTGGATCACTCCCCTTGGAAGCCATCGGCAATCGGCACACACCTCTGCAGAATATGGAACCCCACCACTGCAGAAAGCTCCACTTGGACCCAAGAAGAACCTATGTCGCCAAGGAGATTGATCTACGCGGCTCTTTGCCAAGCAAAACATCCAAACAACTTCCAGAAAACCCCCATCCACCCGCTTTGCTGTCGGAAGCTTCTGGATGTTGCCACCAGTCCATGTCAATTTACCATCTATACAAGTGGGTATCATTCGAAAACCTACACCAAGATTTCATCAATTGACAAACTGCATGGTGGGGCTGCAATATGGTTCCCCTTGTGACTTAGCAACATAGTCCTTGCAGAACCAAGACCATTCACACCTCCTTTGGTCGCGTTCCTTTCACAGGGATCTAAGTCAGCATTGCGTCCGACAACTTCCAGCATGGAACCCCAAGGACACATTTTCAATCAATCTCCTGGGGAAGGGACCCTTTTTGGTGATTCTCTAGACCTTGAAACCCACAGCACCAGAGGCCCTTTCCGTGGGCGATAGTGGGGAGGTCTCAAGCATTGCCCCCTGAAAAAATGAAAAAATACTTCCAGTAGTCATAGGTTCCCTTTAAAACCAACAGGGGAAAATCAAAAATATTCTTAAGCAAATGGAAGTTGCCAAGTCGGCGAGTCGGTCTAGTCCCGGCCTAGCTTTCTGAACGCTCGTTCGCCTGGCCGGGCGTTTGTGACTGACACCCTCCCAGATCTGTTTGCATGGTACACATGTCATGATTTCCTCAGCCCTCCCTGAATATCCATCGTCCGAAGAATCCCGGTATGCCAATCAATTTTGTCAAAGGAAGTTTACAAGGAGCTTCCGTGTTACGGCAACTAGTTGAAAGCCAGCTCGCGCTGAGACAGATGAGGAGAAGGAATAAGCGCGCGAGAAAATGTGTGCGCGCGTGTGGTGGGAGTATAGAAAGCTGCAAAAAGCATGGCCCCGTGCGTGAATTGGTGTCTCCGGAGAGCCGAAAGCTAGCCTGTTCGCGGCGCCTGGTCGGACCACTCTCGGAGCGCGTTCGGAGCGCGTTCGGACCATGCTCGGAGCGCGGGCCCATTGGCACGGCAACGCGGAGGTTTCGCAAGGATTGAATTGCTTGGCAGGCGCAGCACTTTCGCAAGGTGAGGTGCAGATTTTGTGGCACGCGCAGCACTTTCGCAAGGTCAAGTTTTCCCAAGGTTTGAATTGCGTGGCAGGCGCAGCACTTTCGAAAGGTCAGGTGCAGAGTTCGTGGCAGGCGCAGCACTTTCGCAAGGCCAAGTTTTCCCAAGGATTGAATTGCGTGACAGGCGCAGCACTTTCGCAAGGTCAAGTAAAGATTTCGTGGCAGGCGCAGCACTTCCGCAAGGTCAAGCACAGATTTCGTGGCAGGCGCAGCACTTTCACAAGGTCATGTACAGATTTCGTGGCAAGTGCAGCACTTTCGCAACGTCAAGTGCAAAATTCGTGGCAGGCGCAAGACTTTCGCAAGGTCAAGTGCAGAATTCCTGGCAGGTGCAGCACTTTCACAAGGTCATGTACAGATTTCGTGGCAGGCGCAGCACTTTCACAAGGTCAAGTAAAGATTTCGTGGCAGGCGCAGCACTTTCGCAAGGTCAAGTACAGATTTCGCGGCAGGCGCAGCACTTTTGCAAGGTCAACTTTCGCAGCCGGGGCTCGAAAATCGCAACTTTTAAGTACGAAAGTAGTACGCGAAGTCAACTTTCGCAGCTGGGTTTTAAGCACGAAAGTAGTACGCGTTTCTGGTCGAGTTGCTCAACCTACTTCGAGCAACACGCTCCACGCTTGATGCTTTGAACTTGGATGAAAACAGAATTACTTCCAGGGGTGCAGTTGAGGTCTTGTCTGAGTTGCGCAGCTTCGCCACAGACTTGAAGTAGAACAACAATTGAAAACGCAACTTTTAAGTGCAGATATAGATGAATAGACAGATAGATCGATAGACAGATAGAGAGATGGTTAGAGATATAGCTAGAAAGAGATAGAGAAAGAGATAGAAAGATAGATAGATAGAGAGACATAGATAGATAGATAGATAGATAGATAGATAGATAGATAGATAGATAGATAGAGAGAGAGAGAGAGAGAGAGAGAGAGATAAAGAGACAGAGAGATAGAGAGAGAGAGAGATAGATAGATAGAGAGAGAGAGAGAAAGAGATAGAGACAGAGAGATAGAGAGAGATGGATAAAAAGGAAAAAGAGATAGATAGATAGATAGATAGCTAGAGAGATAGATGGATAGAAAAATAAATAAATAGATAGATAAACGATAAACATACAGATAGATAGATAGACAGACAGATAGACAGACAGATAGATAGATAGATAGATAGATGGAGAGATAGATAAATAGATGGAAACAGAGATAGAGAGAGATGGATAGATAGGTAGATAGATAGATAGGTAGAGAGAATGAGATAGAGAGGTAGATAGAGAGATGGATAGATAGGTAGACAGATAGAGAGAGAGAGAGAGATAGATGGGTAGACAGAGGGATGCATAGAGAGATATAGAGATAGATAGATAGAGAGATAGGCAGACAGATGGAGAGATAGATGGATAGATAGATAGATAGATAGATAGATAGATAGATAGATAGAAAGAGATAGACAAAGAGATAGAAAGATAAACAAATAGAAAGAAAGAGAGATAGAGAGATAGGAAGATAGAAAGAAAGAGAGATAGAGAAGTAGATGGAAAGATAAATAGTTAGATAGATAAACCAGCAGAAGATAGATAGACAGGTAGATAGATATATTGATAGAGAGATAGATAGATAAATAGATAAACAGAGAGATAGATAGACAGGTAGATGGATAGAGAAATAGATAGATAGATAGATAGATAGATAGATAGATAGATAGATAGACAGATAGATAGATAGATAGATAGATAGATAGATAGATAAATAGATAGAGAGGTAAATAGATAGATAGATACATAGATAGATAGAGAAAGAGATATAGAGGGATATAGAGAGATGGATAGATAGAGAGATAGAGAGATAGGTAGACATATAGATAGAGAGATAGAGAGATAGATAGACAAGATAGATAGAGAGATAGATAGATAGATAAGCGGATAGATAGACAACACGAGAGCTAGATAGATAGGTAGTTAGGTAGATAGATAGGTAGCGAAAGATAGACAGACAAGCAAACGAAAGAAAGAAAGAAAAGACAGATAGAAAGAAGAAAAGAAGGGAGGAAGGAAGGAAAGAAAGGAAGAAAGGAAGAATGACGGAGAAAAAGAGTCAAGAAAAGAAAGAGAAAGATAACTATAGTTTTTGTATTTTTGAAACTTCCGCCCACTGGCTTCGCCGCCCTTTTTACCATTGACCACTTTTCCATATCTCTGGGTTTTTTAGTGGTTTAGTGGTTTAGATACTACAACCGCAAACCTAAAAACAACCAGCCGCGAACCGGATGGCTGAGAACCATAGCGAACGGGTTCCAAGAGAAGTGCTTTTTGCGTTTCTCGCGTCTGGAGCTAACCAACGACTTCCCTGAACCGAGTTGAAGCGAGGGGATTTACCTCGGATTCCCATTGGGTCGTTTCTGTTGAAGGTGATTTCGACTGGAACGTCATTGGGAACTCTTCGATTGCGCCGCTTTGATGTAATTAAGTGGGCCGGCCCAAAGATGTTGACACGTTGGTATTGTCATATGTGTCTTTTCTGGAGTGCGATACGAAGAGTGGAACTGTTGAAAGGTCCAGATTCAAAAATTGCAGCAAAAGCACTGCCAGGTGCTTGGATGTGTTGGACATTCCTCAGCTGCTCGTGCACCGGACCTGGCTGCTGTCTGCGAAATGGATCATGCTTGGATGTGCTGGACGTTCCTCAGCTGCTCTTGCACCTGGCTGCTGTCTCCGCCTTCTTCTGGATCACCCCAGGTCACAACAGCCCCAGATTCAAGAATGGCAGCAAAAGCACTGCCAGTTGCTTGGATGTGCTGGACGCTCTGCAGCTGCTCTTGCACCTGGCTGCTTTCCGCGCCGTGGTCTGGATCACCCCAGGTCACGACAGCCCCAGATTCAAGAATGGCAGCGAAAGCCCGGTGAGTTGCTTGGATGTGCTGGACGTTCCTCAGCTGCTCTTGCACCTGGCTGCTGTCTCCGCCTTCTTCTGGATCACCCCAGGTCACAACAGCGCCAGATTCAAGAATGGCAGCGAAAGCCTGGTGAGTTGCTTGGATGTGCTGGACGTTCCTCAGCTGCTCTTGCACCTGGCTGCTGTCTCCGCCGTGCGCTGGAAGACCCCAGGTCACGACAGATCCAGATTCAAGGATCGCAGCAAATGCTCCAGTAGCAGTTGCTTGGATGCGCTAAACGTGTGTCAGCTGCTCTTGCACCTGGCTGCTGTCTCCGCCATAGGATGGACTACCCCAGGTGACAACAGCTCCAGATGCAAGAATGGCAGCAAAAGCACCATAAGTTGCTTGGATGTGCTGGACGCTCTGCAGCTGCTCTTGCACCTGGCTGCTGTCTCCGCCGCTCTCCGGATTACCCCAGGTCACAACAGCGCCAGATTCAAGAATGGCAGCAAACGCATCGCCAGTTGTTTGGATGTGCTGAACGTTCCTCAGCTGCTCTTGCACCTGGCTGCTGTCTCCGCCGTATTCTGGATGACCCCAGGTCACAACATTTCCAGATTCAAGAATGGCAGCAAAAGCACCATAAGCTGCTTGGATGTGCTGGACGCTCTGCAGCTGCTCTTGCACCTGGCTGCTTTCCGCGCCGAGGTCTGGATTACCCCAGGTCACAACAGCGCCAGATTCAAGAATGGCAGCAAACGCATCGCCAGTTGTTTGGATGTGCTGAACGTTCCTCAGCTGCTCTTGCACCTGGCTGCTGTCTCCGCCGTATTCTGGATGACCCCAGGTCACAACATTTCCAGATTCAAGAATGGCAGCAAAAGCAGCAGAAGTTGCTTGAATGTGCTCAACGTTTGTCAGCTGCTCTTGCACCTGGCTGCTGTCTCCGCCCCATTCTGGATCACCCCAGATCACAACCTCGTGGCCATGCAAAGCAAACGCCAGTTTAGCGGCAGCCAGTTTGCCGAGCTGCACAACCGCAGTCACCACATCCCCATTTTGCAAGCCAGCCTCACTCAGCGTGGCTGTCAAATCGAGTTGACGGCCTTTCGCAACCAGCTTCAAACCTAGGCTGGAATTAGGACCCCAGCAAAAAGTATTTATATATATATATATTGTTTGCCTGGTGAGTAAACAACAAAGGGACCAACCAAAAAGCAAAAACAAAAACAAAAAGGGGATCGAATTCTGGGGAAGCAGCGGCGCTGGAAATGCTTCTGTGCTGCAGCCTTCAGCTCGCTGATGGGCGTCTCCGGCGAGGCGGCCACGGAACAATTATCACCGCTGGGCAAGTGGACATCCACTTGCATGGCGCAGGGAGATTCTCTTCCGAAGAAAAGCCAGGTCTGACGGGAAAACCAAAGCCACACACAAAACGCAGACGTCTCAGGTCGCTCTTGGCCCGTTTTTCTCTGCACAAACGGGTGCAGCAGGTAATCACAGCTATGTCCTCCAGTAGAGAGGTTAGAATAAGGGTACCCTCTTTTCCTGGAGTCCGTTTTAGTAGGGGAACCCTCCCCAAAAAAAGGGTGAGAAAGGGCACTACTGGGACCTAGACAGCGCATTGCCTCGCTCAAACATCCCGCCTTCCTGATCTTTCGGATAGCTGCTTTACGGCCCTCGGCGCGGCGATGTCAGTGGAGGGGTGGACAAGGATACCCGCCCGTCTTGGCACAGAGGCTTTGATACCCAAATGGGTTTCCTTTTTGATCGATTTCAAAAGAGGCCCACCATGATTTCATTGACTTGGTCCGGCCTCAACTTGTGGCACATCTCCAGACAACAAGGGAAGCGCGCGTCGGCTTATAACTTTGCACAGCCATTGGACTTTGCCGTTCCTAGTTTAACAGTCTGCCTGTCCACCTTTGCATCCGTTCGTGCCTTGTGCCTTGCATAGCCTCAGAGTATGCCCCTGGTTGAGTGGGAAAGAGCAAGCATAGCAAGCATTGCGCAATTCGCCAAAGTGGATCCAGCTAACAACGACAAGATATTTTGGCCATTTACTTTCTTTGCCTTTCATAACGAAAGCTACCTGCAAGTGCGCGAGACCGTTTCTCACGCAAGACCTTTCTCACCCATGGCCTTGTATTTAAGTGGCGGATCTAATGATGCTCCAAGGCCACTTTGTTTGACAGCCCAACTCCTGTTTTGCCACAAGATCCAGGAACTAGCTTACATCCTTTGAGCTACAAACAACGTTAATCGTTTTCCCAAGTGACGCTGGAAGCTTGTAAGTAACTTCCCTACTGGCAATTTGATACGTGCCCCATTGTCATCTCTTTTGCTACAGTAGATGACATTACATAAAGCTTGACCGTTGCTCGTGTTATTAGGCGCACAACATAGGTGTATCAAAACATCTCCGAATGGGGATGTGAGCAAAAGCCATCACTCATTGCGGCCCCCAGCTGGTAATCTTGCGAGAGCGTCCCGTCTTCGATTTTACTACCACAATAGGTGATGGAAACAACACAAGAGACGCGACACAACAATGTCATGAAATAATATAATACCTACTTTGTAACGGTCTACGACTCTTGTAAAGGGTTCACGACCAGCCCTACCACCGTCCCTCCGAAAAAGTGTTTTGACCATAGCACATATTCAACGACGAGGCTGCGTTTGTAGCGTCTTCAACACCCAGCTCAACAGCCTAGTTGAAATGCTGTCTGCTTGTAAGACAAGGATAAATTCAATGTAAACATCTCGGTATAGATGGCCCCCCAATGAATCAACTTGTTGCAAACACAAGTGCGACTCTAACACGACAAAGTTGATTGTCCCTCGGAGCGAGGTTCTGCTGTGCCTGCTTTGATTTACTGACTTGCCTCTTTGGAAGAAAAGAAACACCGAACATCCGCTTTGGTAGATGCTTGAGGGACACGCACCCCAATACAACTGGACCAGGCCACTGCACTGGCTTTACTAAAGCAGGCTGGGAGCCTATTGCCAACATGCAGGGCCTTCGCACGTCAAAAAACTGGGCTGCCCATTTTCGGATCCCCTGCTAAAAGCTTACAGTAACCTTTAGTGGGTTAAATGGAAACCCCCACTAAACACTCAAAGGCTAAGAAGCTATGGGGATGGCTGGGAGCCACCAAGAAAAGATATCTTTATACTGTACAATTGCATGTCACCCACATGCAAATGCCCCCAAACCTGATTCTTGAAACTGCCACAAGGGGAAATGTAGGCAACCTTGACAATCCTCGAACACACGCCTGGATGTTCTGCGCATAAACATTCGGACGACCCACACGCAGGGGTTGTTCCTTCTTCCTTCAAGCACCAACAAGGCATCAGTGTTATATGAGCTCCTATATGTTTCAGGACCCTGTAGATTACCTCCATTTTTTCAAGGGCAATCAGTGACAGAAAAGCGAACCATCAGCCAAAGCAAATGGAATGGGCGCTTCTTCACTGGGCACGCGGCTCCATTTCGGGCATGGTCGTGGCCCTCTGCTTGCCGACCTCGCGATCTTCGGACAAACCGAATTGGGCATTGCGCCTCTGCCGAAACGGCAAAACAAGCAATCCCTTCAACTCTCACCTGGAGTCTCCATGACCCTAAAAAAATGGGGTCATTACCCAAAATAATGGGGTCATGGATTCGTTTTTAAAGGATCATGGAGACTCCAGGCATGTACACATTGCGCACGAAATCCTGAAATAACGATCTTGCTCGCGGACGCGCGATGGAGCTAGGGTGTGCGGCTGTGCAACTTTTAGATGGTCATCCAGAGCCTCCTTAAAGAGGGTTGCTTCCTTTCAAAGGAGGGCGAATTGGGGAAAAAGCGTAAAAAGGAGGGTCACCAGGAGACTTCTGGATGGAAGACATCATGAAAGTCATGAGGCATCGAGGCAGGTTGCGACCAACTTCTCTCAAAAGGCAAGAGCAGCATGACGTTTTCTTTTGACAGAGGCCGGAAATGTGGGTCTGGGTCAAAATAGGATAACCCCAATCTCGAACCCTGGAAAATGGAAACAAGGACGAGCTGCAGTCCATATCCTGGTGACCAACTTTATCCCATACCCTGCAGTGTTTGTTTCACGGTCTCCGGCCTTAACTGCGCAAGGACTGTGCAGCGGGCTATTCCAAAGGCCGCAAGAGCTGCAATCGTTCTTGGATTTCCCAGGTTTGTGCGTTGGAGGCGACACACATCAACCTGCTGTCAAGTTCTATCGTCACATTGGAAAAAATGCGGGCGCCCTTGGCACATGCCGAGCAGCGGATGTTGGGCGAGCAATCGATGGATGATTCTGGGTAAACATGGATACTTCACCGAGCCGTGATACGGGCTCCCGAAGAAAGGCCTTCAACATGAGCGAGCTCGCAATGATGTGCGCAAACAAAGCGTTCATCGTGTACATGCATGCAACAAGAGCGAACTAGCGGTTTGCAGCGTTGAAGTATCAAGTGTGCCCTCAAAAGAGCCCAAAAGGTGCAACACACTGATGGCACCTAAGGGAAGTAAACAATCTCGCCGTTCAATGAGGAACATGGGGTCTTCCAATCTGCACGCCCGGTAAACCAAACGTGGCACCTGAAGCAAGGAACCTTCGAAAAGATAATGTCGCCTTGGGACCCGCCAAGAAGGTTTGGAACTTGTTTTTGGGAGGGTACCTCTACGTCAAAGAAGCGCGAGAACCGCGGATTGCATCCAACCATCCAGGTGTGTCTGAGTCCATATGAGCCGAAAGCCCAAATCAAAGATCAAATTTGGCACTGCCCTTAGTTCGCCTGCAGTCTCCATGACCCTTAAGATTCTGGTCTACCAAAGATACGGGGTGATACCGTTTTTTTCAAATGTCGTGGAGACTTCAGGTAGTTTAGTCTTACGCCAGACAAGTCGGAGATGGTCTGGCGGCCCCAGCAGAAGGCCCAGACGTGGACCTCCTGGCTGATTCGGTCAGTTGGGGAAAGCGACCCCGTGGGCTCACCCCCTCAAACCCAACCCAGAGTCGCAATCAAAACCTGGTACTAAAATGGTCTACCCACCATGTACAGGATTAAGACGGCGGAATTCCGCAGCTATTTCTGGTTGGGATCGTCCCTTACCTTCATCTACCCAGGTTTTGATCTTCCCCCCCTTGGGTGTACCAAAAGTGGGGGACCACTCATACGCCATCTAGCGATTGCATCACAAAATCGAAAGCTGTCTGCAAGCAAAGGCCGGAGTCCAGTTCGGATTTGGCTTTGGACAAGGTCAGAAGGCAGGCGGCACACCCCCTACTCCAAGTACCAACGTTTTCGAGGTAAAACAACAACAACAACAACAACAACAACAACAACAACAACAACAACAACAACAACAACAACAACAACAACAACAACAACAACAACAACAACAACAACAACAACAACAACAACAACAACAACAACAACAACAACAACAACAACAACAACAACAACAACAACAACAACAACAACAACAACAACAACAACAACAACAACAACAACAACAACAACAACAACAACAACAACAACAACAACAACAACAACAACAACAACAACAACAACAACAACAACAACAACAACAACAACAACAACAACAACAACAACAACAACAACAACAACAACAACAACAACAACAACAACAACAACAACAACAACAACAACAACAACAACAACAACAACAACAACAACAACAACAACAACAACAACAACAACAACAACAACAACAACAACAACAACAACAACAACAACAACAACAACAACAACAACAACAACAACAACAACAACAACAACAACAACAACAACAACAACAACAACAACAACAACAACAACAACAACAACAACAACAACAACAACAACAACAACAACAACAACAACAACAACAACAACAACAACAACAACAACAACAACAACAACAACAACAACAACAACAACAACAACAACAACAACAACAACAACAACAACAACAACAACAACAACAACAACAACAACAACAACAACAACAACAACAACAACAACAACAACAACAACAACAACAACACAACAACAACAACAACAACAACAACAACAACAACAACAACAACAACAACAACAACAACAACAACAACAACAACAACAACAACAACAACAACAACAACAACAACAACTGGGTTTCCATGGTAAATAACTCCTTTTTTAGTAGAGGGTCGACATCATACCCCCCAAAAAAAAGTGGGTATTGGGTGTAAGGGGTAGCGTGACTGTAGTTAGCTATCTCGCTGGCCACATCCAGGGCTTGAGTTTGCGCTGGCTTCGGTCCTCTCTGAGTCCATCATCGATGACTTGGGACTCACCTCACCAGAAAGTTCACAGGCCTGCCTTGACTCATTGACAGACTTGACTGGCTCACACGCACGAACAGTGAAACATAGCTGGCGGCCCATTTGGGTGTCGCCCAAGAGTCGGAGGCTATATCTTGTGCTTTGTTTGGTGAAAAAAGCAACATGAGACCCCTGGATGGAAGACATCATGAAAATCATGAGGCATCGATTTTGCGGAGACAGCGGAACATCATGCAACATGAAGGTGCTTCCATTGAAAAGCAGAATCTCCCAACACTTGGGGGCCACGGCATCGAGGCAGGTTGAGACCAACCTCTCTCAAAAGGCAAGAGCAGCATGACGTTTTCTTTTGACAGAGGCCGGAAATGTGGGTCTGGGTCAAAATAGGATAATCCCAATCTCGAACCCTGGAAAATGGAAACAAGGACTAGCTGCAGTCCATATTTTGGTGACCAATTTTATCCCATACCGCCCATACCCTGTGTTTGTTTCACGGTCTCCGGCCTTAACTGCGCACGGACTGCTGCAGCGGGCTAGTCCAAAGGCCGGAAGGGCTGCAATCGTTCTTGGATTTTCCATTTTTGTGCGTTGGAGGCGACACACATCAACCTGCTGTCCAGTTCTATCGTCACATATCGTCACATTCTATATCTGGCTATGGGTCAAAACCCCGGTACGCCGGTGAACACCCAGAAAGCCTTCAAAAAAGACAACAGTGGAGTGGTAACCATCCCCCAAAAAGGCACCTTAGGTTTTGACCCACAACCATACAACCATATGGGGGCGCCCTTGGCAAATGCCGAGCAGCGGATGTTCGGCGAGCAATCGATGCATGATTCTGGGTACTCTACCCGGGGAATACATGGCACAAAAAAAACGCATTGTGCCGTTTACTCTGGATCCAATATGTAAAGGTTTTGCACTTCGGGCGTCGGGGCCAGATATTTGGGGGTCAAACGGGATGCACACATGATGGCACATTTGTTTGAGCGCCGAGTCATGAAACTTCACCGAGCCGAGATACGGGCTCCCGAAGAAAGGCCTTCAACACAAGCGAGCTCGCAATGATGTGCGCAAACAAAGCGTTCATCGTGTAAATGCATGCAATGAGAGCGAACTAGCGGTTTGCAGCGTTGAAGTATCAAGTGTGCCCTCAAAAGAGCCCAAAAGGTGCAACACACTGATGGCACCTAAAATGGAAGTAAACAAACTCGCCGTTCAATGAGGAACATGGGGTCTTCCAATCTGCACGCCCGGAAAACCAAACGTGGCACCTGAAGCAAGGAGCCTTCGAAAGGAGAAGGTCGCCTTACCCGCCAAGCAGGTTTGGAGCTCGCTTTTGGGAGGGGACCTCTACGTCAAAGCGCGAGAGCCGCGGATTGCATCCAACCATCCAGGTGTGTCTGAGTCCGTATGAGCCGAAAGCCCAAATCAAAGATCAAATTTGGCACTGCCCTTAGTTCGCCTGCAGTCTCCATGACCCAAGATTCTGGTCTACCAAAGATACGGGGTGATACCGTTTTTTCAAATGTCGTGGAGACTTCAGGTATAGTTTAGTCTTACGCCAGACAAGTCGGAGATGGTCTTGCGGCCCCAGCAGAAGGCCCAGACGTGGACCTCCTGGCTGATTCGGTCAGTTGGGGAAAGCGACCCCGTGGGCTCACCCCCTCAAACCCAACCCAGAGTCGCAATCAAAACCTGGTACTAAAATGGTCTACCCACCATGTACAGGATTAAGACGGCGGAATTCCGCAGCTATTTCTGGTTGGGATCGTCCCTTACCTTCATCTACCCAGGTTTTGATCTTCCCCCCCTTGGGTGTACCAAAAGTGGGGGACCACTCATACGCCATCTAGCGATTGCATCACAAAATCGAAAGCTGTCTGCAAGCAAAGGCCGGAGTCCAGTTCGGATTAGGCTTTGGACAAGGTCAAAAGGCAGGCGGCACGCCCCCTACTCCAAATACCAACTTGTTCTAGGGTATTAATTTTTTTAAACCTGGGTTTCCATGGTAAATACCTCCTTTTTTGGCAGAGGGTCGACATCATACCCCCCAAAAAAAAGTGGGTAAGGGGTAACGTGACTGTAGTTAGCTATCTCGCTGGCCACATCCAGGGCTTGAGTTTGCGCTGGCTTCGGTCCTCTCTGAGTCCATCATCGATGACTTGGGACTCACCTCACCAGAAAGTTCACAGGCCTGCCTTGACTCATTGACAGACTTGACTGGCTCACACGCACGAACAGTGAAACATAGCTGGCGGCCCATTTGGGTGTCGCCCAAGAGTTGGGGTCCACGGCATCGAGGCAGGTTGAGACCAACCTCTCTCAAAAGGCAAGAGCGGCATGACGTTTTCTTTTGACAGAGGCCGGAAATGTGGGTCTGGGTCAAAATAGGATAATCCCAATCTCGAACCCTGGAAAATGGAAACAAGGACTAGCTGCAGTGGTGACCAATTTTATCCCATACCGCCCATACCCTGTGTTTGTTTCACGGTCTCCGGCCTTAACTGCGCACGTACTGCTGCAGCGGGCTAGTCCAAAGGCCGGAAGGGCTGCAATCGATCTTGGATTTCCCAGGTTTGTGCGTTGGAGGCGACACACATCAACCTGCTGTCCAGTTCTATCGTCACATATCGTCACATTCTATATCTGGCTATGGGTCAAAACCCCGGTACGCCGGTGAACACCCAGAAAGCCTTCAAAAAAGACAACAGTGGAGTGGTAACCATCCCCAAAAAAGGCACCTTAGGTTTTGACTCAACCATACAACCATATGGTGCGCCCTTGGCACATGCCGAGCAGCGGATGTTCGGCGAGCAATCGATGCATGATTCTGGGTACTCTACCCGGGGAATACATGGCAACAAAAAAACACGCATTGTGCCATTTACTCTGGATCCAATATGCAAAGGTTTTGCACTTCGGGCGTCGGGGCCAGATATTTGGGGGTCAAACGGGATGCACACATGATGGCACATTTTTTTGAGCGCCGAGTCATGAAACTTCACCGAGCCGAGATACGGGCTCCCGAAGAAAGGCCTTCAACATAAGCGAGCTCGCAATGATGTGCGCAAACAAAGCGTTCATCGTGTAAATGCCTGCAATGAGAGCGAACTAGCGGTTTGCAGCGTTTTTGAAGTATCAAGTGTGCCCTCAAAAGAGCCCAAAAGGTGCACTGGTGGCACCTAATGGAAGTAAACAAACTCGCCGTTCAATGAGGAATATGGGGTCTTCCAATCTGCACGCCCGGTAAACCAAACGTGGTACCTGAAGCAAGGAAGCTTCGAAAGGAGAATGCCGGCTTGTGACTCGCCAAGCAGGTTTAGAGCTCGTTTTTGGGAGGGGACCTCTACGTCAAAGCGCGAGAACCGCGGATTGCATCCAACCATCCAGGTGCGTCTGAGTCCATATGAGCCGAAAGCCCAAATCAAAGATCAACTTTGGCACTGCCCTTAGTTCGCCTGCAGTCTCCATGACCCTTAAGATTCTGGTTTACCAAAGATACGGGGTGATACCGTTTTTTTCAAATGTCGTGGAGAGTTCAGGTAGTTTAGTCTTGCGCCAGACAAGTCGGAGATGGTCTGGCGGCCCCAGCAGAAGGCCCAGACGTGGACCTCCTGGCTGATTCGGTCAGTTGGGGAGAGCGACCCCGTTGGACCCGTGGGCTCAACCCCTCAAACCCAACCCAACTGAGTCGCAATCAAAACCTGGTACTATGGTCTACCCACCATGTACAGGATTAAGAAGGCGGAATTCCGCAGCTATTTCTGGTTGGGATCGTCCCTAAGCTTCATCTACCCAGGTTTTGAGCACGTGGCTCTGAAGATTGATGAACCTTCCCCTTTTGGGGGTACCAAAAGTGGAGGACCACTCGTTCGCCATCTAGCGATTGCATCACAAAATCGAAAGCTGTCTGCAAGCAAAGGCCGGAGTCCAGTTCGGATTAGGCTTTGGACAAGGTCAAAAGGCAGGCGGCACACCCCCTACTCCAAATACCAACTTGTTCTAGTTTTTTTTTTTCCTAAAAAAAACATCTGGGTTTCCATGGTAAATACCTCCTTTTTTGGCAGAGGGTCGACATCATACCCCCCAAAAAAAAGTGGGTAAGGGGTAACGTGACTGTAGTTAGCTATCTCGCTGGCCACATCCAGGGCTTGAGTTTGCGCTGGCTTCGGTCCTCTCTGAGTCCATCATCGATGACTTGGGACTCACCTCACCAGAAAGTTCACAGGCCTGCCTTGACTCATTGACAGACTTGACTGGCTCACACGCACGAACAGTGAAACATAGCTGGCGGCCCATTTGGGTGTCGCCCAAGAGTCGGAGGCTATATCTTGTGCTTTGTTTGGTGAAAAAAGCAACATGAGACCCCTGGATGGAAGACATCATGAAAATCATGAGGAATCGATTTTGCGGAGACAGCGGAACATCATGCAACATGAAGGTGCTTCCATTGAAAAGCAGAATCTCCCAACACTTGGGGGCCACGGCATCGAGGCAGGTTGAGACCAACCTCTCTCAAAAGGCAAGAGCAGCATGACGTTTTATTTTGACAGAGGCCGGAAATGTGGGTTTGGGTCAAAATTGGATAATCCCAATCTCGAACCCTGGAAAATGGAAACAAGGACTAGCTGCCCACTGCAGTCCATATCCTGGAGACCAGTTTTATCCCATACCCTGTGTTTGTTTCACGGTCTCCGGCCTTTACTGCGCAAGGACTGCTGCAGCGGGCTAGTCCAAAGGCCGGAAGGGCTGCAATCGTTCTTGGATTTTCCATTTTTGTGCGTTGGAGGCGACACACATCAACCTGCTGTCCAGTTCTATCGTCACATATCGTCACATTCTCTATCTGGCTATGGGTCAAAACCCCGGTACGACGGTGAACACCCAGAAAGCCTTCAAAAAAGACAACAGTGGAGTGGTAACCATCCCCAAAAAAGGCACCTTAGGTTTTGACCCACAACCATACAACCATACGGTGCGCCCTTGGCACATGCCGAGCAGCAGATGTTCGGCGAGCAATCGATGCATGATTCTGGGTACTCTACCCGGGGAATACATGGCACACAAAAAACGCATTGTGCCATTTACTCTGGATCCAATATGCAAAGGTTTTGCACTTCGGGCGTCGGGGCCAGATATTTGGGGGTCAAACGGGATGCACACATGATGGCACATTTTTTTGAGCGCCGAGTCATGAAACTTCACCGAGCCGAGATACGGGCTCCCGAAGAAAGGCCTTCAACATAAGCGAGCTCGCAATGATGTGCGCAAACAAAGCGTTCATCGTGTAAATGCCTGCAATGAGAGCGAACTGGCGGTTTGCAGCGTTTTTGAAGTATCAAGTGTGCCCTCAAAAGAGCCCAAAAGGTGCACTGGTGGCACCTAATGGAAGTAAACAAACTCGCCGTTCAATGAGGAATATGGGGTCTTCCAATCTGCACGCCCGGTAAACCAAACGTGGTACCTGAAGCAAGGAAGCTTCGAAAGGAGAATGTCGGCTTGTGACTCGCCAAGCAGGTTTAGAGCTCGTTTTTGGGAGGGGACCTCTACGTCAAAGCGCGAGAGCCGCGGATTGCATCCAACCATCCAGGTGTGTCTGAGTCCGTATGAGCCGAAAGCCCAAATCAAAGATCAACTTTGGCACTGCCCTTAGTTCGCCTGCAGTCTCCATGACCCTTAAGATTCTGGTTTACCAAAGATACGGGGTGATACCGTTTTTTTCAAATGTCGTGGAGAGTTCAGGTAGTTTAGTCTTACGCCAGACAAGTCGGAGATGGTCTGGCGGCCCCAGCAGAAGGCCCAGACGTGGACCTCCTGGCTGATTCGGTCAGTTGGGGAGAGCGACCCCGTTGGACCCGTGGGCTCAACCCCTCAAACCCAACCCAACTGAGTCGCAATCAAAACCTGGTACTATGGTCTACCCACCATGTACAGGATTAAGAAGGCGGAATTCCGCAGCTATTTCTGGTTGGGATCGTCCCTAAGCTTCATCTACCCAGGTTTTGAGCACGTGGCTCTGAAGATTGATGAACCTTCCCCTTTTGGGGGTACCAAAAGTGGAGGACCACTCGTTCGCCATCTAGCGATTGCATCACAAAATCGAAAGCTGTCTGCAAGCAAAGGCCGGAGTCCAGTTCGGATTAGGCTTTGGACAAGGTCAAAAGGCAGGCGGCACACCCCCTACTCCAAATACCAACTTGTTCTAGGGTATTATTTTTTCCTAAAAAAAACACCTGGGTTTCCATGGTAAATACCTCCTTTTTTGGCAGAGGGTCGACATCATACCCCCCAAAAAAAAGTGGGTAAGGGGTAACGTGACTGTAGTTAGCTATCTCGCTGGCCACATCCAGGGCTTGAGTTTGCGCTGGCTTCGGTCCTCTCTGAGTCCATCATCGATGACTTGGGACTCACCTCACCAGAAAGTTCACAGGCCTGCCTTGACTCATTGACAGACTTGACTGGCTCACACGCACGAACAGTGAAACATAGCTGGCGGCCCATTTGGGTGTCGCCCAAGAGTTGGCCCGGCTATATCTTGTGCTTTGTTTGGTGAAAAAAGCAACATGAGACCCCTGGATGGAAGACATCATGAAAATCATGAGGCATCGATTTTGCGGAGACAGCGGAACATCATGCAACATGAAGGTGCTTCCATTGAAAAGCAGAATCTCCCAACACTTGTGCTTTGTTTGGTGCAAAAAAAACACAGCCGCGCCAAGTTGTTTTTGGTCGTGTGCTTGTTTGTTTTTTTTTGTGCACAAGTTTCACGGTGCCCAAAGCATCGAGTCGAATGTTAGGAGCACAAGCTTCAAAGCCGCAAGTCAAACCACATCAAACTATGCATATCCCCGACTCCAAGTACCCACTTTTTCTAGGCTATGTTTTGGAAAGCCTTGTTTTTCAAGGTCAATACCGATCCCTTTTTTAGTAGAGGGTTGACATCATACCCTAAAAAAAGTGGGTACTTGGAGTCGGGATTGTATTTTGTTAAAAATGTGCTACCCTCCCCTCAAACCTGCCAAACTTGGCAGGGGGGGCAGCTTAGGGGCGATGGAACGTTTCGGATCGAGCCTTCCTGATATGCTCAAGATGGATCCCAGGGTTCTCTCCTGATAGGCTCGACTCTCTTGTCGCAAGAAAGTAGCCCGCGACCCGAACCGGCCATAAGCTCCCATGTGAGTCATGGTCATCGCTCCAAATTGTGAACCTTTGGCATATAGGAGTGATCTTGCTGCATTCCAACATGAACAAACAAGCAACAAGAAACAAGTTGTTGTTTTTCTGCCCGTGTCATCTTGCGTCCGATGCTCAACAGTAATCGCATTGGGCATCTTACGGAACTGCTTCTTGCCCACCATGGCCTTGCCCAAACCATTCAAAGCCCCAAACATGGGGGTTGCAAGGGGGTTGTGGGGGGGGTACGGGGGGGTTGCGTGGAGACCCAACAACTCACAACAGCTTCTTGGGCTTCGCATTTTTCCTTGCGGGCTCCTTTGAACGCGCAGTGAAAAGGGGGCACGAAGTGAAAAGGGGTCACCAAGCCACACAAACGAGCACAAACGTTCCAGACCAAGGCGCGGGATCCAACGGTCTCCTGGCCCACAGCCGAGCCCTTACTGGCTTTGGATTACCCTCTCGAACATGGCACCTGACACGGGGTCCCCTCAAGAGGAAACTGATCTTCCAGGTGCCCTTTCACAGATGCTATGTTAGTGGGAGAAAGGGTACTCGCCTGAGTTTAGCCGAATACACTCTGAACTGTTTTCTTACAACGTGGTTTTCATGTGTTGTTGTTTGGTGCAGTTGGTCCGAGGGTGAGTTGGAAATACTGTCGTTCCTGTGTTTGGCTGCTTTTGAGGAAAAAACAGTCGGAAATGAAAACATAACGTTGCCCTCCAGTATATGGTCATTCTTGTGATCGCGATATTAACATTATGTTGCCCTCCAGTAACCCTCATTGTTGTGGATCAAAAAGGGTATAAAGCACAATTATGATGTTTCCTGCGCGAGTACCCTCCAGTACCCTGCGTGCGAGTGCGCGAGTGGACTGTGCGAGTGGACTGTGCGAGTGTGCGAGTGAAATTGGCGAGCAAGCGGACAAGTGGACGAGCGACTCGAGTACTCGCGCGCCCTGCTCGCACACTTTCACTCGCACAGAAATAAGCTCATTTTGTAGACCGATTTTTGTTTTGTCACGAATACTACTTTCAATTGCGGGTCAAACATAAAACAAAAAACAATTCCAGCACCCTCCGACTACTGCCCAAACGGCAGTAGATAGAAATTACCCAAAAACGACCGTAGTTAGAAAAACTACTGTCAATTATTTTATTTGCGGGATGCCCATAGTCTAAGTACTGCTAGCTACTGTTTACAACGGGGAGATGCCATAGCAGGGGGGTAGCAATCAAGGGGTGGCAGCAAGTGCACAAACGACTCACAGCGTGTCACCCCTGTCACCCCGTGTCACCTGCGTGTCACCTGCGTGTCACCCCGTGTCGCCCCCGTGTCGCCCCCGTGTCACCCCGTGTCACCCCCGTGTCGCCCCCCCCAGAACGACAGTAGATCGCTGCGAACTACTGTCGTTTGAGCGTGTCACCCCGTGTCGCCCCCGTGTCGCCCCCGTGTCGCCCCCGTGTCGCCCCGTGTCGCCCCCGCCCCCGTGTCAACCCGTGTCTCCCCGTGTCACCCCGTGTCGCCTGCGTGTCACCCTGTGTCGCCTGTGTGTCACCCCGTGTCACCGTGTCACCCCGTGGTCTTGTTTTTCCCTGCTTGGGGCAACATGAAACGACCGTAGATCGCGGATCTACTGTCGTTTATTTTATTTTCGGAACTACTGCCAAATACCCGGTAGTTCCGAAAATAAAATTTAGACGGTAGTCGGAGGGTGCTGGTTTGTGTCTGCGCGAGTGAACGTGTCCCGGTGGGGTGCGCGAGTGTTCGAGTGACTCGTCCACTCGTTGACTCGCTCGCCCGTTCCACTCGCACACTCGCACACCCTACTCGCGCACTCCACTCGCGCGCTCGTTTAAAGTCACTCGTGCACTTTTTGGCAAGCGCGCTGAAAAAAAACTGTGTACAACCTCTTGGCACCAAAAGTACATACTTTTGTTTTGAGCTGGGCGCGCGCTAGCTTGCAGCGGATGTATATAGTTGATTTTGGAAAGGATATTTCTTCGAGCTGATTTGGAAAGCATTTTGCGTCGAGCTGATTATGGAACGAATGTTGCTTCGAGCAAGCGGACGATGCAAAACAGGATGCGACGCAGCGGGGCGATGACCGGTGAGGAGTTTCAACTTATTCTATATGATTATTGAGGTCCCCCGCGTCACCCCTTCAAAAACACATTTTCTTGCACTGCCACTGTGATTTATGGGGACGGCTCCAAGCGTGCGCGCCAGAAAAAAGGCGCTACCCTTAAGCCGGCAATCCCTTATTTTTGTTTAGTTGGTTCCCCTTTTATATCCTTTTATGGGGTTGATGTTGTAGGAAAAAACAGAACCCCGCCCATGTTCTGAGGTATTAAATCCACATTCTGATACATACCGTAAATACCGATACCCTTCCTCCCAGCAGCTGTTTTCTTGAACGGGCATCCCTTAGTTGGTCTGGGAGGAACCGCAAAATGGACAGGACCCCCCCAAGTATATATAATGACTCACAAACGGATTCCTGGGGAATGACTGGAGGTTAGTGGATGGACGAGCTCCCTTTGCATTACTTCGGATGGATGCAAACCCAATGAATACTGGCATACAACAC